AAGTTAATAGCATTCAAATAGTAACTTGGAACTTGAAAAACCTTTATTCATGCAAGTCAATTTAACAGTTACCCTCTCGTACACAGTTAGCTTATCCTCACTAAACTGACCAATATCTGTCGTTATCGTCACACGATTCGGGGTCAGACCTTGATTTCATATTTAGCTTACCGCTAAACTTGGTCACTTCTTCACAGTTCGCCTTTGTATGCACTTCTTGCAAACGTGTAAGACACAACCATGTTTGTCTTGCAGCTTGGAACCTATCTGTTGAGGATGTACCGCGAAACCTGTTACACTCACTGGGTCTATATGCTTTACTAGACACAGTAGAGCCTTCCCGATATCCACCTCTCTGAGACCCTTTCGTCATCAATGATTTCGTTTTGCCCTCAGACTGCTCTATTCTAGGGGTGAGATGCAATATACTGGCAAACTTGCTCATAGCTTGATTGACACTATCGTTTACCAGTTTCAGAATATCATCGAACTTTGGCTCGATACCTTCATCCTCTATACGAGAGCTTATCTTCACCCACTTCCTTTGCAGTCGAGTAGGTAGGCGTCTCGCTACTACCTCTAGGACGGAACTTGAGTTCAAATCACTCATGCAATTCATCGAAATCAACGTATTCTTGTAAGTCATCAGGTTATCCAAAAACTTAGTGAGTGACTTGGAGTCATCTTGTAATTGACTACCATTACCTTTGACAGCCTTGAATACGTTCCTTACAATCATTGAAGGTCTTCCGAATCTTTGACGCAGGATATGCATCGCTTCAGTATATCCTTCGTTTGGGGGCATGAACTTACAGCACTGTATAGCACTTGAAGCAACTCCAGTGCAGTACCTCATCAAATACATCAACTTCATTTCATCATTTAATAAAAAACTACTCAACATGATTTCAAACTCCTTTGCAAACTGTGGATAGTCAGGTGGGTTTCCGTCGAAACACCGAGGTTCAAATTGAGGCCTATTATCCCTAGGCTGAGAAAAATGAACAACAGAATCATCATGCTGAGCATCATACATAACATTACAATTAACAAGCAACTCAGCATTAATTGCTTTCCTGCTTGCTTCCGATACGCTTCGTCTCTTCCCTGACTCAGGGGTCATTGAACTTGACCAAAAATTCCAGAAAAGTTCCAGATAATACTTGTCCAAGGAAGATTTTGCAGGCACCAGTAAAGACGAACGGAAACTATCGAAAGACTATCAAACTGTCAGTCTAGTCTCATAAACTGTCAATGTCCAGCTTTTTCTACGCTAAACCTCACGCTGTCCGTCAAAGACTTTCAGAAACGCTTTGTATTAACCGACGCGAAAACTAAAACACTGATTGGCGACTCACAAATCCTTTATTTTTACTCCAACACATAACCAACAACAATGTCATTACAGAAGGTTTCTGATAGTTTTTAATCTTCCTTCTGAACGGCGAACGATGAGACAATGACTGCCGGGTTGATGACCTGCGAAAATTATGGGGAAGTTGGGTTTGAGCAAACGACTGTGAATTGATCGTTCAATCTTCAAATACATTGACACAAGTCATGTATTCATCAAATCGCCACACTACGGATCATCATTGAACAAAGCTTGGAATGGCAGTCACCTCTCCACCTCACTCAACTTCATCGACTTTGAAAAGGCCTTCGACAGCGTCGATCGAGAGGCGATTTGGCAACTACTTCGCCACAACGGGGTGCCGCCGATAATTATATATCTCATTCAAAAGTTGTACAACAATGCTGCATGCCAAGTAATCCACAACGGGAAACTTACGGAATCCTTCGAAGTGAAGACGCGAGTAAGACAAGCTGGCTGCATACTATCTCCAATGATTTACCTGATTGCGGTAGATTGGATAATGCGACAGGAAGCAGGCAATTAGGAAAGAGGCATAAAATGGATCTCAGGTGGGTGGACTCACACAAATAACTCGGAGGATCTGGATTTTGCCGATGTGATATATGTCTGATTTCCAAGGAACTGGAAGATATGCAAGCGAAAAGCAACAATTTGGCAGAAGATGCGTCACAGATGGCATTTCACTTCAGGTGAACATAGAGAAAACAGGGGTGATGAAGATTCCTGGCCACCAACAACACCAACAGCAACAACGATAACTGACAGTAATCAGCATAAAAGGAAGGAACCTGAAAGAAACAACCTCCTTTACCGACCCAACTGGAAAGCATCGTTTCAACTACCGACCGACGGAACTGACGAGGATATCAAAGCAAGGATTGAGAAAGCAAGACAAACTTTCATTACTCTATAGTCTGTGTGGAGGTCAACAGCACTAAGCATCAAAAATAAGATCCGGATTTTCAACTCCAATGTGAAGTCAGTCAGTGCTACTATACGGATCAGAGACTTGACCAGCGCGTCATGAGAAGCACCTCAAACAAACTGCAGACCTTCCTTAACAGTTGTCTTCGCTCAATACTCAAGATCAGATGGCCAGAAAAGATCAGCAACGGGGTCTCTGGCAACGAGCGAACCAACCAGGAACCGACTGTGCAATAAATAGGCAGGAAGAAATGGAGATTGATTGGCTAGCCATACTCTTAGGAAACCATCAAGTGAGTGACATCACTAGAGAGGCCATCGCTCGAGTGGAACCCGAAAGGGAAGCGGCGAGTTGGACGTCAAAGTGTGACTTGGAGGAGGTCATGAGAAGAGGAAATGAAAGTGTGTGGGCAGAATTGGAGCGGGGCGAAAAAGTTGGCAGAAAACCGAAGGCAATGGAGACATTTGGCTGAAGCCCTGTGTTCCTCTAGGATTGAAAGGATATAATAATGATAAGTTCGTGAGATTCAGTCTGTTTATTAGTTTCTCATACAGTGACTCAGTCATACTGAGGATCATCAACATATTTATTTTTCGAGTTCTTTTCATCGGTTGTGAGCAGTCTTTCACTTTTGGCCGTCTGGCTACATTTTTTAGTTACCTGAAGAATGGCAGTTATATCACTCTTGGTTCAAGTAAAGACTTTATGTGGGGATTCTAATTTATTTATACTGAAATCTGACAGCGTAGGTAAAGAGCGATGCACTTGTTTGTTTGCAGTAATGCCTAATAATTCACCTACTCTTCTCCACCTCTGCATTTTATGCCGGTTAAAACCTTGTTGAGTCCCAAACAGTACATTTGCATCATTTAATACTAAATGTTATAATGTGCACACTGTAGATAAAATTTGTTTAATCCACTGCTTGGTATAAGATGACTTTTCCGTTCACGCACGGAGACTATCTAAACTTCAGAAGCTGCCACCAATCCTCAGGAACTATCAATCACGTCTCAGAAACCGTTAATGCCTAGCTGTTGCTACGCCGGGCGTCTGGCTGTCTCTCGAAGCCTTCAGAAACTCCTAGTAGTAACGGACGCGAAATCCAGATGATAGATTGGCGACTCGAGCATTCTTTATTCTAACGCCAACATATTTTTTTGATTACAGCTTAATTCCACACTGTATTTTTGGTACAAGTATGGAATTTTCAGCGTGGATATCGGTAGCCCGAATGTTGCAGGCCGACCATAGATACCAGGTGCGCGTCGGCGTGGACTCGAACCCCGGACCATGCGCGTGGTCGGCGAGAGTCCTAACCACTGTGCCACCGACGCATATATCCAGCATAATAAACTAAGGTCTATGAACAAATATTACAATAATAAATCACGGTATTACTTCTGACGGTATTTCTACGTTCTTTCTGAACAGCAACCGATGAGACGATGACTGGTTGTATTGATGCCTCCGCGAAAATATAGGGAAGTTGAGTTTGAGCAAACAACCATGAAGTGATGGTTCACTCTTTAACTACATTGACAAGGGCCTTTGTTCTCTTTGGTTCCATCATGACAGGCACGCCCTCGGTGTGGGTGTTTTTATCTGCTCGGTGACTGTAGTATATCAGTGACCCCCCGTTTGCCAATATGGTGAGTCCTTTCCCGTTCCATCTGCTTTCACATATTCCCAGTACTTGAATTCCGTATCTTTTCATCTCGTTTGCGATCTGGGCAGCTTTGCCAATCTTGTACATCTTGTGCACATTCCATATCCTCACACATATTTTTTTGGCGCAGTGAGATTCATCGTGCTGAGGTTTCTGTAGCAACTTTGTTTACAGGCTGGGTTTTCAAGCCTCACGCCTGAGATAGGGATTGTTACATTAGGATAAAGTTTAGAGAGAAGCGACCTTGCTGGTTGCTCCACTTTAAAACGTAAAACAAGGAACGAAACAATCAGAACAACACCAGCAAAGGAAAATAAATCACAGCAAAAAGAGCAACAAGCGACATCAACAATAATAATGTAACAGTTAAGCACAGGTAACCGAAATGATACCAAAATCATAGACTCACTGATTTGAGCCAATTTGAACAAATAAATCCAACAAAATATACAGTTATAGATATTAGATAATGATAAACAGTCACAATATACCAAACAGATAGTTATAGGTATTATATGTCAACAAGATTATATCTACAGATTTAGTGTTCGAAAGTTAAATAATTGTAATGATTTTCACAAACTCTTGGAGTGAAATCCTACAGAAAGAAGAGTTTTTATGTAACTAGATAAATGGAATAAATTGTCTACGTCCTAGGCTAAATCATTCAAGAAAAAGCAGGTAAGCGTGACTATTAAATAAAAGCAGGTCAATACTTTATCCCCTATTTAGAATTTCGGAATGCAAGAGTCTGCATCTAAATTTATTGATTGGAGAATACATTTTCTTTTATTTCAGACAGGCGTAACCTTTGTATGCTTGATTCCGTTTAAATATGCAAGGTTTAAAAAATTGAAGTCCTGGGTTTACACACTAGAAAATTAACAACGCATAAAACAACCATGGCCACCGACTTTGTTTAACCTCTCTAACGGACATCAAATTTCACCTACGCACCATTTAAAGATTCTCTAAAGTTTACGAGACAATCAGTTATTCATATTCCTATTTTACATATCTGACTGAAAATGGATTCCAACGCATTCATTGAGCAACAGCCTTCAACAAATGTTCGCACACAAAAACGAGAAACAAAGCATCGGTAATAGTTTATACATATCAGGATAAACGAATTTCTTACTACAGAATTTTTGTTAATCGAAGTCTTCAGTTGGACAAAATAAAGTTTTTTGGATTCGACATGGACTATACTTTAGCACGTAATGCAGATATCGACATCCTTTTCAACACTAAACTACAAATTTATTTAGAGTACAAATCCCCGCAGTATGAGGAACTTGCATTTGACATTATTAAATGCCGGTTGATTAAGCTTGGATATCCATCGAAAATTGCCGAATATACTTACGATCCATCATTCCCGCTAAGGTCAGTTGATTTTGAACGGTCTATAGTTCAACAATTTATATTTATTTTACCAGTTGATCACGGATTGATATCAGTTAGAGAACCATTGAAAACCAGCACTGGAGTACTGGACAGCTGCTGTTTCATCCTAGTTTGGGAATCATCGGCAGTACGCACTCACTGGGATTCGAATCCTAGTGAGTGCGTACTGCCGATGATTCCCAAACTAGGATGAAACAGCAGCTGTCCAGTACTCCAGTGCTGGTTTTCAATGGTTCTCTAACTGATATCAATCCTTGATCAACTCGTAAAACATAACTAATCCTTACAAACCAAACTATAGAAAGTTATATTTATTTGCTGACGTATATACATTTAGTGACAGTTGCCACTAAATGGCATTTTGATTCCTTACATTTAGAGCTCAGAGGTCAACACTTTCAGTGCTCCTTAGACCAAGTTCTATGCTTTGAAGATGAGCTACTACCCAAGATCATTGATGCGATGGTTTATTGACAACATACTCCTGAGTTCAATGCATGTAGTACCACATATGGGTTTCATTATAAATGACTTACGTTAAAAAGAAATCCCTAAGCACTAAAAATAAGTGCAGAACTAATGTATTAGAAGAATTGGAGCTGTAGGGGCTGAGGGTGTTCACCTTCAAGGATAGTACGACATATACTAACGCAAGAACCTTTACCCACAGCTTCTTTAGTATTCGTTCCGCTTAAACCAAATACAGAGGAAAACACCAAATTTATCGTCCAAATTACGATATATATTTCTGGACCAAATTCGTAGCGCAAGGATGATTACTTAACTAGCTAGGGATCATGCACGAACAACAGGACGTAACACGACAATGTGCCAAATGACGTGGATGCTTGACCACGGGCCTTCAGCTAAATAAACGAACTCGTAAATAAACCAAGTTAAACAGTGAGGATCAGTACTGAATATTCACTAATTAATGCTGTGGCTAATAATTCCGGGGAATTATCTACCGCTATCGACACATTGTATACCTGTTAGTATGATGAATTAGTCGGAGGATTACTTTGTTTAGCAGTGCTGAGGTATCACTGACTTGGGAAGGACGAATAGATACAATGGATGATCCCTACAAGAGGACAGTGTCTGACATTTATGGGACTTCAATAAGGTTATTTGATGGAAAGATGCACTTTTCGTTTGTCTCTAGTGGATTCTATTCCGATGATTTGCATTTTTACTTTGTGAATTTTTCTTCCTTGTCCAGCTTTTTCTACTGGTATTTGGCTAGTTATTAGGTGCAATCTCTACTCTCCTATAGGGAATTGATAATTTTATCTGAAGAGTAAGTGTCTGTGAGATGGCTAAGTCGCGCAGTAAAACTAATGGATTTCTACGAGAAATGGGGAACTGTAAGGGGTCGATTTGAATCCATAATTTTGATTGCATTTTTTACTTCCTTCATTTGTTAAATGTTCTATTTCTCAAAGGTTAAATACAAATTACAACCCGAATAGACACTAAAATCTATCTCGAAATTTATAAGCTTTTTCCTGCTTGTAATCAAAATGTTTGTATTAATCTATGTTCTTATCTTCAGTCCGTAAACTTAAAAATGTGTAATTTCAAACAAGAATTGACTTCTCACTTTCTGGGTTTTAACAAGGTGTATTTTATATGTTCTAGGGGCTTGTGGTTTGATCGACTTTATGGTACATTGTTAAAAATGGATCAATTTGGAAATATCCTTTCGTGTTTACGTGGATTTTATCTTATTCAGAGGTAAGTAATGAATTTACAAATATTTTTGTTTTTCGCACATAGAGAAGAGCTACGAGCAATGTATCCAAATAAATTTGTGAAGTTTGATGAGAAGCGTATCGAGATAATGAACACTTTATTCAGTCTTCCAGGTGTGTACTTTCTGTGTTAAGTTAATCTCTTATCTTAGAAACCTATATGCTTTCATGTGTAATTAACCATTTTGTCAGCGACGCTGACTACATAAAGACAGAGCATGGTTTGAAGAAGGGGACTTTGTATATGTCTTATGCTTCAATTTATGAGGATGTTAAGGCTGCATGTGACTGGATGCATACAGTAAGTTAAAATATAATGGATCTCAAATATTGTTTTAATTCTGTGTTACCCGGATAATATTTTTTCTCCATAAACTTGTGAGACCCAGTGTATAGAATTCATGATGCTTTCAATGAAATTTGTGTCAAAATTTTGTGCTTATTTTATGTTAATCTACCACATCCCAATAGTCAGTCGTTTATAATTTCTAGCCGTAGTTTCTTGTAAGTTTGCTTGTTTACTAAAATCTCAATTGACATTTTGTTTTTTGTTGTTGTTGTAAAACAGATTCATTGACTAGATGAGACACAGAGAAAACAGTGTGAGTGGGTTTCATATAAGTATCTGTTTTATATTTCCATGTGATAATCACAGATGGTCACTCAGACCGACAAAGTGATTAATATTGGAATGTTCATAACCACCTGAGGAATAAGTGAAGGTAAAGCAAAAGCAAAATTTTAGAAAACTGAGGAATTTTCAAATATATATTCGATGATGCGTTAATTACATAGATTATTATTATTGTTCCCTTGGGTTCCTAGTGAAACATAGGACTTCAACTGAACGTCTACACTTGCCACTTCTGTCTTCCTTCTGCTGTACTTTTCACCTGCATCCATGTTACTTCATACTATTTCAACTCAACATACTGTTTCATACGATCTCCTCCATGTCACCCTTGCACTGACGTCCAACTCGCCGCTCCTAAGCGAGTGTCTGTCTCCATCCATCTCAATCCACTTTCTCCTGCTTATTTGTTGAATGGCGATTGCTTCTTGTTTTGTTTGTTTGTGCCCATAGTTTCCCATAGTTGGTGATTCTTTCCGGTCAGGCCATCTGATCTTCAGTATAGAGCCACCGAAGACATCTGTTGTTGACAAAGGTCTGGTCTGCAATAGCCTGTCGGAAAAATTCCTTGTGACCCACCCACCAAGTTTCTCATTCGTATAGAAGAACTGACTGACTTGACGTTGTTTGTATTGAAAATCCGACTGAATTTTGTTATTGATGTGGCTGAGTGACGAAGATTTCCAGATTAGATTGGTTTCATTTGGTTGATGAATGTGTGTGTTTCTCGGACCCCTTCCTGATTCTCGCTCGATTTGACATCCTCGTCCGTTCCGACATCCTGTAGTTGAGACAATGCTCCTCCCTGGATAAGTGAATTGAGAAAGTTACCTCTTTCAAATCCCTCCCGTTGATGGTGATTGGCGGTGGATGTTGGTACTGTTGTTGTTGGTTGGTTATCAAACATAAATCATCCACATGCGAAATCCAGGTCTTCTAGGTTCCTCACGTCGGTCGGTCCAGGATATCCCTGGTCTATGACAAATCGTTAAGCACATAATTGCCAGTGTCAGATCAGCGTCATAGTTTTTACTTGATCTGATCAACAGGCAAAAATATTAAGACAAATGTTTAAAAAGTTGCATCAGCTCTGATGGCTGACTGGATTGCTGACAATTGAAAAGACGGTGATTTGTATTGCACCTGCCAATCGAACTTATTCCAGGTCTTAAATTTCATTCTCTTATATTTTATTTTATTTCTTTTTCTCCTCTTTTATTTACCTTTTATACAGTGTGTAGATGTAAGTTGTAACAAATGAAAAAAATTGACTCACAACTGAACTATTTGATTCACCTGATGCACCTTATGCAATGCAAAGCTGGAGATTATTTTTCAGGATTACTCTGCTGAACTTTCAAAGCTGTCTTTGCATATAATCGCTAAACAGGATTATTATTGTTGTTGTTGAATATTTTACTGTGGTGGCTGCTGTTCAGTATAGCTGTAGTGCATGAGCTGAGCTGAGCTAAGCTGAATTTCCAACGCTGCACACAAATGTGGCAGTTCAAGTTGCCACACTGTATATGTATATATCACATAGAGGAGCTGTTATGTGTAGCTATTTCGTATGTTTATAATATTTTACTGTTCTCGTGTTAGTCTTCTTTCTCTAGACGTCATCCTGCATATCCTAGGTCAATGAGGTTAGAATATGTCAGTTAACATGACCTTGGTAGTCCAGATTAGATAAAAATAAGCCATCATATCAAGATATCAAGTGTTGAAATGAACTTATTCTTATGTATTTAGTTCTGATGATGGATATATATATGTTTGTGACATCCTCCTTTCGATTTTAGGGGGAACTAAAGCAACGTACTTTGGCGAATATAGGAGAATATGTTGAACGTGATCCCCGTCTTTGTGTTTTGTTAGATAGGTAGGTTATTATTTTATTCTTTGCATCACCACTACTAAACCGATTGATTCACATTTTTGCTAACAAATTGTAATAATCAATTGCTTATCATAAGAAGTTTTATCAATATCATCATTCCATTTTGTTTTGTTTATAGGTTACGTGTAAATGGTGCCAAAGTATTCTTATTGACCAACAGTGATTTTTGGTACTCCGATGTAAGTTTATTTATGCACTGAACTGCAGTTTTGAAATTTAAAAGTTCATTTACCTAGTCCTTCCTAGGGATGTTTTTCAGATGTATTGGCTAAATGTTTCAGACACCCATTAAAGTAATGCCTTATTTTTAGTGCAATCAAAATAAAGTTGAATGTCTTAACCGTCTAAATGGTTAGATATTTCTAATGGTTTGTCAAGTTGATAAGGATAAGTAATTTTCCTGTATTTGTTTTAATTACTCCGTTTTTCATCAGTGATTTGGGAATTCGAAGTTTGTCTGTTGCGCTTTTCTAATAAATACTTCTGAAAAGCAGGCGAAGCTAGTATAGCCTGTGTAAAGTTCCTTGCCGATTGCGTTCACTCCACCTTGCATGAGGTGACAAGTCTTACAAAAAGCTGTCTCTCGTTAATATCAGGCAGGACAACATAGAACTCTAAACTGCGAGAATTGGTTCGAGTTATTATCACATTGCTTCAGAGGTCACCAACATTGACCGGAAATAAAGCTATGAGGATTAACTAGATAAAATGATCTACTAATCCTTTACTGACTGTTTTAGGTATGATGAGTAGATTATTATTATTGTTGTTTCCTTTAATTTCAAGAGGAACATAGGGCTCCAACCGCGCGTTTCCATTGCGTTCGGCCCTCTACCAACGTTTTCACCTGGCTCCACGTCTACCCACATGCTTTCATCTCCTCTTCACATCACCTCCTCCATGTCACTTTACCCTCACACTGACGACCAATTCGCCCATTGTCGCCTATTCGGGTTCCACTTGAGCGTTGACCTGGTGTGTGACGTTGCTTGATGGTTTGTTTTCTCAGAGTATGGCCAGCCAATTCACCTCCATTTGTTCCTGCAGATTTGTTGCACAACTGGTTCCTGCTTGGTTGGTTCGCTCCCAGAGATTCCTCCCTGTTGCTGATCTTTTCCGGCCGGCCATCTAATCTTGAGTAGCATTGAGCGAAGACAGCTGTTGATCAAGGTCTATATTAGATACTACTTCTATTTTCTTTATCGAATCTTTCTTCACACTCCAGGTGGTTTGTCTTAATACAGAATGAACAACTCAGTTAGTTATTGAACAACTGTACACATTTTGTATCATTTCATTTTGGTTTTGAGGTCAGCCATTACTTGAATGTACCAACTCACAGAATTCGTTGTACCGAGGGGGCATCACTTCATCTATCTTTACTAAGTGCTATTTTCTTTGACATTCAACCTGGTTTTCTCGGTTATGGGTGGGGAATGTTTTGAATATCATAGTATACTAACAGCCAATCAGTGCTAAAACCCATTGTTATTAATAATTACTCCAGACTCTTCAACCGCTAATAATCGACACAAGAGAGTGTGGCATAGTGAAATCTTACTTATGATAAGGGCGAAAGACATCCTAACTGTACACATATTTTCATCAATGTCGTTCAACAAAATGGAGTTTATTAGTGTCTCCGATTAAATGGATTCTGCCTTGAGAAGTAGTTTGGGGAAAGTGGAAGTCAGACAAATGTCTCTGTACTAATTTCTCCACAGAGAGGCTGAGTAGGAATAGCGGGAGTGAACGCCCTCGGTGAACATGACTGTTTGGTAACTTTTCATCAACTGCTAAGTCAACCGTTTTTTTTTGTGAGATTGCAAATGGTTAGAAAGAAACAGTTTTCTTGACATTTTCAAAATGTCTTCTGTTATCATGTTTTCACTCTACACTATTGTTTATTTTAGGCGATTATGAGTTACATTTTGGAAATTCCTAGACCTGATGTAAGTCGTGACAATTTTTTAATTGAAATGTTTGAATAATATAAAATTGTGCAAAGTGATTAGTTTAAGTATACATTTATTCAGCACCTTTTGTATATAAATGGTGTAAAAACGGATGATACACTTTTTCGTAGACCAACTTTGAGTGTGGGCTGAAATCTCGTTGAGTCAACTGTTGTCTGGTTACTTGATTTTGGTCTTGGAGTACGAAAAGAAGTACTTTGGGTGTGGACTGAAATTTGATGAATGCGAGCAATTCTTGTCTGCCAGATTGATTTTGGGAATTGATAACAGACACAAGTTACAATGTAGCTAAATATGCATGTTTTTTATTTTTCGTTTGCTTAGATGGTTTATCTCTTCCAAGTGACATTGAGATGAAATTTACTTGGTTGTCAACTTTCTACACGAAACCTATGTAATCACTAATTAAGCTTTGTTAGCTAGCCATTTTTACCCCATTTCAAGTCCTCTTTTCAGTGAATGTAAAGTGATTTCAAGTTTGTTCAGGGGACGTTGTTATTTTCATTCTGAGACAGTAATTTAGGCATAAATCTTCGGATTTAAGAGATTTCTTCTTCTCAAAAGTCTCATTTTCTCCCCCTAAAGCAGAAGTTTTCTTTGGTTTTGTTTGCTCATAGGCTGTACAAACAATAGTGAATCACAGAGCAGCATGTCTGCATGGTGCAGAGGTTTTTATGTCCTATGCTGTGATTCTGACTTAGCGTGTTAACTTTTAGGATGCTATATGATTACAATAGACAAATTCGGTGAAGGTGGAACTTGGTGCTTAAACACACACTAAAGGAAAGTCAGTTACTAACTAGAGTTAGTGAGCTACACTTCTCTAAATTGTTCATCTATCTCTAGGTTGAAGTTTCAACATTTTGACTAGCATTTATTGTCGTTTGTTGAAAGACGAGAACAAATCATACAGCATGACAGTTGCATTCTGGAGCCTCTTTGTTTAATGTTAAAGCAGAGGATTCCGCTCGCTAGTTGTTTCAACTAAGTGTCAAATACTGCCAGGATGCACCATCAACTGGATAACGTCTCCATATGTCACATATCGGACTGTTTAGTTTGTAGCCCCTCAGATGTACTCACATTTAGAAACTAACAAATGTGCTAATATAACAACTTTATAGATTTTAAGGTGTTTTTGAAAAAAGATTTCTGTCCAGCTTTAAAACTTGAGTGAAATTTACTTATCAAATAGCATTATCTATGTTGTATTGGTTCTACGACAATATGGCCACTGAAGCTGAGAAGGCAGCAGGCAAAACGACCTGAGGACATTATATCAGATAACCAAATCTCTATCCGGGAAAAGATCAACGCAGGTGAAACCTATAAAAGACAACCAAGGGAACCCAGTTACCAAGAAAGACAGACAGATTAAACCATGGGCGGATCACTTCAAAGGAATCTTGAACTGCCCATCACCTGCAATCCGTCCAGAAATACCAACAACAGCGCGTACACAACTGCAAGTTGACACCAATCCTCCGACGAAAGCTGAAGTCTTGAATGCAGTCAAGCTTCTGAAAGCTGGAAAAGCAGATGGACCAGATGGAATACCCCCTGAAGCACTGAAAGCGGAACCAGAGATGACAGCAGATATGCTGACTCCATTATTGCAAAAGGTCTGGAAGGAGGGAAAGGTGCCTACTGACTGGAGGAAATGTTACCTCGTGAAACTACTAAAGAAGGGAGACTTAAGAGTCTGCAAGAACTGGCGAGGAGTCATGCTCCTGTCGACGCTAAGTAAAATTCTGAGTCGCATCATCCTCGAGAGAATAAAGGATGCACTGGATACAGGATTCCAACCAGAACAAGCTGGATTCAGGAAAGGCAAATCATGTTCCGACCAAATTGCAACTCTACGCATCATCATCCCATAACAAAGCGTGGAACGGCAATCAAACCTCTACCTCAACTATATAAAGTTCGAGAAGGCCTTCGACAGCGTTGGCCGTGAAGTAATTTGGAAACTACTTGAGTACTACGGCGTACCCCAAATATTCATCAACCTTATTCAACAGCTGCACGACAACGGTGGCACATGTCAAGTGATCCACAACGGAAAACTCAGCGAGGCGTTTGGAGTAAACACAGGAGTTAGACAAGGGAGCCTGCCTATTATCACCAATGATATTCCTAATTGTGGTGGACTGACTGGATTATGCGTCAGACAGTGGAAAACGAGTAGACAGGAATATCCTGGACCGACGTGAAGAACCTAGAAGACCTGGATTTCGCGCGTAGATGATTTATGTTTGATGTCACACAAAATCGAAGACTTACAGGCGAAAACCGATTGACAAACTGGTCGAAGAAGCAGCCGGCGAAGACAGGACTACAAATAAACATAGACAAGATGTAAGTTAAAAAGATCACCAACCAACCAACAACAACAGCAGCAACATCCAGCACCAATCACCACCAACGGGAGAGATTTGAAAGAGGTAACTTCCTCAATTCACTTATCCAGGGGGGAGCATTGCCTCAACTACAGTCAGTCGGAACGGACGAGGATGTCACATCGAGCGAGAATCAGGAAGGGGTCCGAGAAACACACACATTCATCAACCAAATGAAACCAATCTAATCTGGAAATCTTCGTCACTCAGCCACATCAATAACAAAATTCAGTCGGATTTTCAATACAAACAACGTCAAGTCAGTCAGTTCTTCTATACGAATGAGAAACTTGGTGGGTGGGTCACAAGGAATTTTTCCGACAGGCTATTGCAGACCAGACCTTTGTCAACAACAGATGTCTTCGGTGGCTCTATACTGAAGATCAGATGGCCTGACCGGAAAGAATCACCAACTATGGGAAACTATGGGCACAAACAAACAAAACAAGAACCAATCGCCATTCAACAAATATGCAGGAGAAAGTGGATTGAGATGGATTGGACACTCGCTGAGGAGGCCGTTGGGTGACATTGCGCGCGCGTCAGGCCACTACTCGAGTGGAACCAGGCCGAAAGGGAGCGGCGAGTTGGACGTCAGTGCAAGGGTAACATGAAGGAGATCGTGTGAAACAGTATGTTAAGTTGAAAGAGTATGGAATAACATGGATACAGGTGAAAGGTACAGCAGAAAGAAGACAGAAGTGGCAAGTATAGACGTGCAGTTGAAGCCCCATGTTTCACTAGGAACCCAAGGGAACAATAATAATAAAGTAATGTTGCATTGATAAGTTTCTACGAAGTATGGAAGACAGAATTCACAGTATAAGACGATACACAAATTAATCAAATGACTGTTCCTGAACTCGTTAGCACTAATTGTAGATCCCTGTCCAACAAAATGGATTATCTTCAATCCCTAATGTATTCCAATGTTTATCGAAATGCTGGCGTTTTAGCAATACAAGAGACTTGGCTGCACCAGCATTATGATGATAATCTAGTTTCAATAAATGGATATAAAGTTTTTCGCCAAGATAGAAAAAGTTCCAAGAAAAAATATGGAGGAGGGGTAGCCACTTTTATAAACACAAGTTGGTCTACATCAAATCACGTTTGCTTCAATTATTCTAATGACAATATAGATTGCATAACCGTCAGGTGTCGCCCAAAACACTTAAGTAAATATTCTTATATATACATAACAAATATTTACATAACACCCAATTGTAGCCTTTCTAATATAGTTATGTTTGCAGATGAGTTTACTGAATTCGCTGCTCCTGCATTCGGAAACTCGTTGTCTATAGTCTGTGGTGATTTTAATTCATGTGATCACAGCTTTCTTACTTCACTTGGTCATGAGAATCTAGTCAAGTTTAATACACGTCTGGACAAATCACTAGACCTGGTTTTCATAAATGACCGTGATGTATATGAAACCCGAAGGAGAGCTCCTTTGCTAAATTCTGACCACTGCATTATTCGTATTTTACCGAAAGTGTACGGCAAGTTACAACGAAAATTGTTTAGTCATTTAACAAAGAAGATACATGAACGTTCATATTCCCATGACAACATTCTAGCATTAAGAAGCATGTTGCATGATACCAACTGGGAACTATTTACTGACGATAAGTTGGATGCTACTGTCTCTAATATAACCGATTATCTGAAGTTTTGTTTGGAAATTTGCTGTCCATATGAAACACTGTTTTCGAGATTTGACAGAATCTCTTCTTTGCAACTGAAAAAACTTAGAAGACAAAAAGAGAAGTTGTATAAGAATTGTGATAATACTGGTGTCCGTAAAATAAACACCCTTATAAAAATTGAAATAGAAAGGTTGAACAGACTATATAATGAAAAATTTTTATCATGTAAAAATCCTTCAAACATTTGGAAACTTTTCAATAAACTTACAAGTAAAAAACAAATGTCTGTTGATGCTTATTCTGATGTTAATGCTTTAAACAAATTAATATGGTTGTACCTGATGTACCTAGTCAAGAAAATGGTCATTTTCCGGGTTTTAAAGAAAAGGATGTACTATTATGTTTGAAGTCATTAAATCCAACACACAGCCTTGGTCCAGATGGTGTACCAAGCATTCTTCTTCAAAAGTGTGCAGACATCTTGTGTCATCCTCTTACTCAAATCTTTAACGCATCATTTAACAGGGAAACGGTACCTGCTGACTGGAAAGAAATCAAGGTTGTACCTGTACAGAAATCATCTTCTGGAGCAGGTATAAAGTTTAGACCGGTCGCTATAACATCTCCTTTTTTGAAAACTATGGAGAAACTTCTTTTGAATATTCTTAAACCTTCTTTAAAAGCTTTTAGTGACCCTAAGCAGTTTGCTTATAAGTGTGGAAGAAGTACATTAGATGCAGCCATTGTACTACACCACAATATTGTTTCCTGCCTTGATAAGGGCGCTAAGTTCGTTCGAACAGCTTTTTTAGACTATACTGCAGCTTTCGACTCTGTTCCTAGGACACTTTTATTAGGAAAGATGAATTCAGCACAAACAGAGTCCTGGGCAACTAGATGGCTGTCTTCTTATTTTAAGGATAGGAAACAGCATACTGTTTTGGCTGGAAAGCGCTCCACTTCTCAGCTAACTGAAAGTGGTGTGCCTCAAGGTGCAGTACTTTCTCCATTTCTTTTTGCATGACCTTCCGAACTCACCCAAAGTTAACTTCATTAAGTATGCTGATGATCTGACCGTTTCTGTCCCTGTAGTTTCCACATCGGATTGTTCCCATATGAATGGCTTCTTAGCTGAAGTTAAGGATTGGTCTGGCTCAAATGGTCTTAAACTAAATCCAACTAAATGTAACACTGTTGATTTCAGCTTGAGAAGTGAAAAAGACATGCATGGATTGATTCAATCTCATGATTGTTGTAATATTGATGGTACCATGATAGAGAGTAAGTCAAGTGTTTCTTATCTTGGCATTAGTTTCTCTTCAAACCTTTGCTGGTCGTCTCATATTCTTATAGTTTCTAAGAAAGTTTTCCGTCTGACTTATTACATAAAGAAGTTGAGACACTCAGGTATAACCCAATCTCTTATCATACAATTTATTAATTCATGTGTTTTGCCCATCATTCTTTATTGTTCTCCATTATTCTTCCCTGGGCTACTCAAGAAAGATCATATAATACTACGAAGAACATTGAGGGCTGTAAGTAGGGTCAGTGCTATCCCTTTGACTCAACTAAATGACACTGTTGTCAATAGGCATATGAATTCTTGTAAACACTTAGCTAAAGTTATCTTATCTGATAGTGAACATCCTCTTTATTCACAATTGTTTCCTTGTATCTCTTCGGGTAAGACCAGAAGAAATTTTATAAACATTTATGCTCGTACTACAAAATATAAAAATTCGACCGTTCCATATTTGGCACGAGTATTGTGTGAAGAGACAAATATCAGAAAAGAACTTTTACAACTTTTGAATCATTAACTAAACTATAAAATGTAATGATGCATATTAATGCATGTGTTATTTGTTATATTATTTATTTATTATTCACTATGACCTAGCAATGGTGTGATTTTGTTGGGGTTTTATTTTTTCCTATTAACTATCAATATTTTAACATTTTATACATTTATATAATTATAAACAGAGCTAAACCATTGCAATATGTAAAAGAAACGCTGAAAATTCCATGCTGTAAATTGTTATTGTTGTGGAATAAAGTGATTATTATTATTATTGTATCATTTTGTTTCACTAACTGTAAATTTTGTCATATTAAAAGGTTTGTGAAAAGAATAGAGTTAATGTATGTTATGTACTCGTCGAGTAGTTAATAGTCCTGACGCGGAAAGAGGGAAATCAGAAGACCCTCCAGGTTTACGATGATACTTGTATTTTCCAGACAAGGAAAATAATTGTCACACAAGAGTGTCAGGGAAATGGTACGAATGTACGAAAATGTGTGAACCAGAATAATGTACAAGTGTCTAATACAAAAGTATGTATGAAAATGGCTAATACACATGAACCAATAAGATAACATCTTACCATGATTGGTTGTAATGTCATGTGACAACAAGGTCATACATGTTTATTTAGTTAGTGGACAGACAAAATCATAATATCAGTTATAATGGAATATCGATCCATATACCCATGGCAAAATATAATAGACTGTCAACAACAAAACACACACATCATATGGATACATATCAATATACTTTAGATATTTAAGCTGTAAAGTCGAAAGCATTTTAGACAGGGAATAGGAAGACTCGGATGATTAAGCATTACATATCACAAGTCGAATCATTGTTATGAAGGTGAATGTTGGGCAGCTGACAAGAACCCTAGAATTAACCTGTGCTCACACATTCCTATGTACTGTGATTTCTTATTCGTCTGTAAAATTGATGACAGACATTGGTTTCTGTCGGGAATGCCTAATTTCTCCATTTTTGTTTAATTTTGTCAATGATGTACCTGTTAATGAGTTGACTTGTTGCCGAGGGAGTGTCTCATTCACTTAGAGTATGCAGATAATATTGTCCTTCTATGTGAAGTCGCTGACAAAATGCATAGTCTTCTGACCACGTTTAGCAGAAATCTTCTAATGTTTCATGCGCAACTCCCCTCTGTCAAATTGTAATGTAATGCAGCGGTTGCAGTGACACCCATTTTAATGTTAGGAAGTGAAGTAGTTCAGCGCGTTGATCATTTCATTTTTTTAGGCTGATTGGTTTCAAAATGTCCCCACGTATACAAAGGGCTAGTGTAGCACTTTTCAACTCACCCAGTCTCTGGCGTAGACGTGATATCCGACTATCTATGAGAGGACGCGTGTACCGTGCAGTAGTTGTCTACGCCCTTTGTCGCTGTAAGACTTGGTCTTTGAAATCGGAAGATATGGAGAGGCTAGATGTCTGCATTCTACCTCCTGTGTCAAAGGTTATACATAGTATGGTGAGTAATATTGAAATTAAGCATACAACGTTTGGAAGGGAGTGAAAATCGATCGATGAGGTTGTGAAGCCGTATCGACTGAGAAAGCAAGGACAGGTGTCGCGCATGCCAAGCCATTGTTTTTCACATCGAACAATGTTAGCTGACATAAGATTAGATTAGAAAAGAGTGGTCAGATGAAAGCATAATATCAGTCCATGAAGTCTCTGACTTCTGGTTTCACCCACCCATATAACCAGATAGCTTATGTCCTACAGACTCTAAGAATCAATAACTGGAGACTGTCAGTAACATACATTCTTTAAGATTTTTCTCAATGAGACTAGATGCATAAACTCCTTATGAACCCTTATATTAATCAAAATTCTCACTATTCTCCATGTACCTTTTCTCTTTCCCGTAAACTCAAGTTTATTATAGTTTTTGTTTTTTTATCATTTTTTCGGTGCTTTTGTGTGTACTTCATAAAGTGTGACAACTTATATCACCTCAATTTTATACAAATTTCCGTATTGAAAGTAGCGCTAGTCATTAGCCGATGAAATTAGCTGATGAAATGAACTTTGTTAAGTATGCTAATGATCTAACTATTTCAATGTCTGTTAATTCCCAGCCTGACTGTGCTAAGATAAACAGCTTTCTATCAAGAATTAGCAAATGATCTTCGTCTAACGACCTCAAACTAAATCCTTCCAAATGTCAGACTCTTCATTCCAGTTTCCACTGTAAAAGAAAGTTAAGTGAAGCTGTTGATTCCCATGACAATTGTTAAATTGATGATAGTGAGGTTATAGAAATCAAGTCTGAAGTTAAGTATCTTGGATTGATTCTTTTTTCTGATCTATCATGATCTTCCCATGTCTTAGCAATTTCTAAAAGAATATTTCTTCTGACATTTTACGTTAAACAGTTAAGGCACTCAGGCATAACCCAAGCCCTCCTCTTACACTTTGTCAACTCGTGCATCTTACCTATTCTTGTTTATCGTTCGCCCTTATTCTTTCCTGGATTGCTTAAAAAAGACTATGTCATACTTTGTAGAACTCTGAAGACTGTCAGTAGGACGAGTGGTATCCCATTGGGCTATATCGTTGACATCGTCATTGATAGGCACTTGATGTCATGCAACACATTTGCTAAAGAGATTTTGTCAGACTCTGAGCACCCACTCTACCTGCAGCTCCAACCTTGTGTCTCCTCAGGTAAAACAAGAAGTCTTTTTAGAAGAATTTATGCACGCACGTCTAAGTATAAAAATTCCACTATACCATATTTGTCACGTACTTTATGTGATGAAAATGGTGTCAGGTACGAACTAACCTTCTTTGCACTACTAAATAAACCATTTTCCTCCATCCTTACAGTACCAAACTTTATTGTTATTGTATTTCTTATATTTATAATCCTCTCAAATATTTTGTTTTTATTTATTTATTTTTCATAAGTGTGAACATAATTTAAGCTGTGTTAAAAGTTTTAATTTTGTATTTCCCCTCACCACGCTGCTATATCAGCAGAACATTAGATTCAATAATCTATAACATGCTAAAGTTTCCTAACTGAATCGACAATACGGTTTGAAACAAACTCACTGTTATTATTGTTATTATAATATTTAATAATCTCAATTCGTGCTTCGAATATTTTTGACTTTATATCGTAAGCGTGGACAAATCCCTCTGGTTACTTTTGTTTTAATTTTTAATTTTATTTATATTTTGAGTAAATCAGATGCAAGGTGTTGTTTCAAATGCTGAGAATTCTATTCTGTATTATAAGTACTGTTTTTGGAATAAAGTAAATTATTATAATATAATCTAGAGGATGCATAGCCTGATGAATTTCCGATGTATGTTGTTCCTGAGGATAGAATGTACATTGTTTTCCTTCATATTTGCAATAACCACTTTGTAAAACTAATACCGTATAGCAAATCATTGACTTTAAGGATGCCTCCTTTCCATTCTCATGTGTCTTCAGTTATGATGTATACATCATTTTGTTTCTAATCTCACAATTATGAGTTTGAAATTATCAGTATACGAGCTTGCCTTGTAACCAGAAGGTCCTGGTTTCGAACCCTGGTGGTGATGGGTGCGTACTGCCGATGATTCTCAAGAAAACTAGGATGAAACAGCAGCTGTCCAGTACTCCCTGGTTTTCAATGGTTCTGTAACTGATATCAATCCATGATCAATCCGTAAAAACATAACTAACCCTTACAAACCAAACTATAGAAAATGACAATGTAGAGATCAGGGTACTTGCTTTTATTGTGCTATATATATATATATATATATATGTATGTATATCACTGTCGTTAGTTGTTTCAACCAAAATAAACGTAGGGTATCGTAGTTTTCAAGAACACACAGTAAACCGTAAGTCTTTTGAAAGATGTTTGTACAAAACGCTTTTATTATTTCCAGACAGTTTTTATTTTCTTCTTTTGTTTTTCTATTTATATTCTCAGGGTACCACCAGGAAATGGACAAGTTATTTCGACTATATTGTGACTGATGCAAGAAAACCGGGGTTTTTTCAAGAAGGAACAATTTTAAGAGTTGTCTCACAGGTAAGCGTGAATAAGGTTATTTTTGTGTGTATAAATTGTTGTCATACATAGGTTGTAAATGTCTTGATTGTAAAAAGTTTTCCGTTGGACTTTGCTATCCCATCTAAACTCTGGATTTACACTACATAAGAACTACACAGATAAATGAACTTTGAGGAATGAGATGGGGAAATCAAACCGTGATTTTGAAACGATACGGAATTGGTAATATGTGTGTGTGTGTGTGTGTAAAACTTGGACACTGTGGTGGTAATAAGTAATTCCATATTAGATTGTTTATTAGATGTATCACACAGTGATGAAACAGTATTATTTACCGGATGACGGTTCAAACTGAATTTATTGTTTACAATCATTTCATCAATAATAATCACACGACTTCGAAACTTGAGTTTTATAGTTTTCTTTGTTTTCTCCTATTTATCGTCGTTGGGGTAGCAGAATTTTCCAAATATCTGGGTGAACCGGTGTTGAATCATCTCTATTATATGTATTTGCAGTTGATTCGATAAACAAAGCTTCTGTTACCAATCAGTCTCTCCCTCCACCCTGCTCTTGAATTAGATTTTTAAACTGTCATCCTATCCCATCCAGCCTATTGTATGGTTGTGTGTAACTGGATGCGGTCCTATAGGTGGGAAAACATAGCGAATGAAACGTTTAGCCACACCCCAAAAGTATGGTGGAGGTATGTAGATGACACATTCACTGTACTTAGAACACAAAATATAGATAGATTTTTCGACCATATTAACTCAAAGGTGGAGGCAATTCAATTCACTTATGAATTGGAAAGTCAGGAAGGGAACTTCCAATATTAGATTGTAGCGTAAAAAGGAAGAAGATGTGAAGTTCAACACTAGTGTTCACAGGAAACCCACACATTGAAACAGATATTTGGACTTCCGATCATTCCCCCCATCCTATGTCAGTAAAAATAGGATTGGTGAAATGTTTAAGTGACAGAGCACAAAAACTAAGTAGTACTAAGGAAAATCTAAGACAGGAAGTGAGACATATAAGAGAAGCTTTGAAACTTAATAATTACCCTGATAAATTAGTCAGAAAGTATGTAGGCAAATGTAGAAATAAAATAAATAATGATAGCAGTGATAGTGATAATAGTAATAATAATGATAATAATAATGACGACACCAACAATAAGGAATCTAAATCATCAATAGTAATTCTATACAAGGAAGGAACCTCGGAAACCTTATGCAGAATTCCTAACAAGGCAGGAATAAAAGTGGCTGGCATTCAATCCCACAAACTCAATTTGAAACAAGCTTTGTCGCTTAAAGGATCAATCCTGTGGAGCCGTTAAAACAAAACAATTTAGTTTATCTAATACCCTGTCTGCAAAGATTGTCAAGTTAAATACATAGGACCAAAGTAGTAGAACAGGTGCAGTCAGACTAACTGAACATAAAAACCTAGATTGGTTGACCCAAATTAGATAAGAAATATAGAGAATAGTTCAGCTATAGCACTGCATTCAGTTACACACAACCATACAATAGGCTGGATAGGATAGGATGATAGTTTTAAAATCTGATGTAACAGGGTGGAGGAAGAGATTGATAACAGAAGCTTTGTTTATCGAATCAACTGAAGAGAATACATGTAATAGGAATGATTCAACACCTGTCCACCTAGATATCTGGAAAATTCTGTTACCCCAACGACGACAAATAGGAGAAAACAAAGAAAACTATAAAAGTCAAGTTTCGAAGTCGTGTGATTATTATTGATGAAATGATTGTGAACAATAAATTCAGTTTGAACCGTCATCCAGTAAATAATACTGTTTCATCACTGTGTGATACATCTAATAAACAATCTAATATGGAATTACTTACTACCACCACAGTGTCCAAGTTTTACACATATATATTAGATAAAATTTATTTTGATAAATTCTCACGGTATTATACAGTAATATATACTGTTGACCGCGTTTTGAGCACAATTTATTATTACTATTGCTCATAATCATATCAGTGCATTGCTCACACAACTTTCTGACTTTGTTTATATGGTTCCAGTATTTCTCATCTCCTGATAGTAATATTTCTATACATATTTGGTATTAGTGATGAGTTATTTCTATTGCATGTGTTGTTGTGTTGGGTGTAGACCTCGATGAACAAAGATTCAGTAATGAAATTCTCTCTCCACCTATCTAAAATACTTTTAGAATTTTAACCCTGTCCCATCCACCCTATTGTGTGGGGTTGTGTATTAATACGTGCAGTGCAGTTGCTGACGTTTTCTTTTTCTAAATTACTTATCTTCGTTTTGCTTAAGTTTACTTTTGAAAAGTTTCAAGTGAGAAGTGTCCAGTAAATCAACTTTACCTATATTCTAGTTGAAGAAATTTCAAGGAAAAGATTCTCACATGTATATTTTTACTGTATTGTGTTCGTCAAATTATCTTTCGGTTTTATTTTTATAGTCATATGTGTGTAAGTTTAGTTTTAACTCAACAACTATTATCTTGCATACATATACATATTGTCATTGCAAGTATTATTGTTACCTGAAATATGCATGTGCTCATTATTATCTATCTCCTCCGTGTTTGTTGTAATCAGGGTGGCTCACTTGACTACTTAACGTACTAATATATTATTATTGCCTCTTTTAGTTCCCAAAGGAATATAGTGCTTCAGCCACACGTCTCCATTGCATTCAGGTCTCTGCTAGAGCTTTCACCTGGCTCCACGTCCGCCCACATGCTTTCATCTCCTCTTCACATGACCTCCTCCATGTCATTCCACCCTCACACTGACGAGCAAGTCGTTCATGATCGCCCATTCGGGTTCCACTTGAGTGATGACTTGGTGTGTGATGTCACTCATTTGATGGTTAGTTTTCTCAAAGTCTGGCCAATCCACCTCCATTTGTTCCTGCTTGGTTGGTTCATTCCCAAAGATCCCTCACTGGTGTTGATCTTTTCTGGCCAGCCATCTGATCTTGATTAGTATTGATCGAAGACAGCTGTTGATTTGGGTGTGTAGTTTGTCTGAAGTTCCCTTCGTGACGCGGTGCCAAATCTCTGATCCGTATAGTAAATAGCACTGACTGACTTTACATTGAAGTTGAAAATCCGGATCTTATTTTCATTTTCATGCTGAGTGTTGTTGACCTCCACACAGACTTGAGAGAAATGAAAGCTTGTCTTGCTTTCCCAATCCTCGCCTTGATATCCTCGTCAGTTCTGACTGTGGTTGAAACAATACTTCCCAGGTAGGTAGTTGGGTAGGTAGGTAAAGTGGGTTGCTTCTTCCAGATTTTTCCCATTTAGGCTGACTGTTGTTGTTGCCCAGGAATCTTCATCATCTCTGTTTTCTCTGTGTTCAGCTGAAATGAAGCCTATCGTCTCTGGATGCTTCTTGTGCCAACTTGTCGCTTTTTACTTGCATATGTCCCAGTTTGTGGGAAGTCGGCCACATGTCATTGGCGAAGTTCATGTCCTCTAAGTATTTTGTGTGAGCCCATTTAATGCCTGTCTCCTCGTTTCCTGCCTCTGTCTGTCGCATTATCGAGTCTACCCCAGTCAGGAAAATCATTGGAGATAGTAGGCAGCCAGCTTTATCTTACTTCCGTCTTCACTTCGAAGGATCCGTGAGTTTCCCTGTGTGGATTACTTGGCATGCAGCATTGTCGTACAACTGCTGGATGGCGGCACCCCTTGGTAGTAGCGAAGTAGTTGCTGAATCACTTCTCGATAGAAGCTGTACTATCGAAGGCCTTTTCAAAGTCGATGAAGTTGAGCGAGGTAGAGAGGTGACTGCCATTCCCAGCTTTGTTCAATCATGATCTGTAGTGTGGCGATTAGATCAATACATGACTTGTTTCTCCTGAATCCAGCCTGTTACGGTTGAAGATTTTCATCCAGGTTGGCGTTTTTGATTCTCTCCAGGATGATGCGGCTTAGTATTTTGCTTGGGATGGACAGGAGCACAATTCCACTCCGGCTCTTGCATTGACTTAAGTCTCCTCTCTTTGGCAGTTTCAATAAGTAGCCTTTCTTCCAATCTGCACGTACTAATATATCACATTATTTATCAGTATTATTATTATTATTTTATCCCTTTACTTTCCGAGTGGAACATATGAGGGCTTCAAGTCTGAGCTTTGAAGTTTCATTAATAGTGGTGTTTATTCTGTACGGAATGGGGTTACTAGCCTCACTTCCCTCACCTTCCCTCTTTTGTCAGGCTTAAAGCCAGGTAGAGGGGAGGTAAAGGTGTACACCGGCCGAGGATTGAATCCTGGACGACGTGCATAGTTGGTGAGCATTATACTGCTGAACAACCGATGCACATGACAACTTGAAATATTATGTAGCTGAAAATTTCTGAGCGTGAAACATAGCTCGTTCTGACTTCATTTTTATCTCTCTCTCTCTCTCTCTCCTTCACTGGAAACCTCCCGTGAGTGGAATCCTAATGAGAAGCGATGATTTGGTCATCCGTGGGTGGCGACATAGAAGAGATCGTGTTAGTTGAAGGAGAGATGGGAGATTCTGAGTAGTCGTGTACCCAGCTGAAAAGAACGCCAGAAGATAGGACAAAGTGGAGATGCGTTGTTGAAGCCCTCCCTATATCCCTCTTATAACCCAAGGCAATAATAATATTAATCATCAGTCGGAACCTGAGGGAATGATAGTAATAATAATAATAATGCTGTACTGTATTTCACTATATATGTGCATAACACTACTTTATCAAAAACTGTTATCATTTATCTTACTTCATTCTATTCAAGTTGTTTGTTGTGTGAATTGATAGTTGATTTATTCGATTATTTATTTCTATTTGTTTCATTAAGGAAACTGGCCAACCGAGTATAGGTCATCATATGGGTCCCTTAGAAACTGGTCAAATATACGCTGGAGGTAATCAACGGTTTTTAGCAGTATTACTGTGATGTTTGTTAGATTGACTGTATTTTTTGCCTTTTTTCTTGATGATATCACTTTTGGTTGATGGTGATTAGCAGTGGAATGCTGGATGTGCACTTCATCCTATCTAAGAATCGTCATCTCCAATGAGTAATGGTGTTTCCTGCAAGACTTGAATTCAGCTCTTATCGGTTCAAACATTGAAGTCTTATCCACTAGGCCACGAAAGGCACCTTTTGGTTATTTAAGTTATTTATTTTTTTTTTGTATTTCCCGTGGACTGACTATATTGAACGGGAATGCTTGATCCAATTTGATCCAAGTCTACTCGTAGTACGGTGGCTTCAATGATGTCTGAAGATGGTGGTAAACATGATGTTATTTAGTTGATATAGTTGACTAGCAGTGGAATCCAGGATGGAAACATTTAGTTCCCAATACGAATTTAAAACAAACAATAAAAGTTAATAAAGCAGGATGATTTAATGAATTCATCAAATTTTGGTAGAACTCGTCAGCTGAATACTCCACATACACAGATATATGTATACTTTTGAAATTACATTGACAGATATAAGACTGATAAGTAAACAAACTACATTGAATTAGTCATGCAGAAAGACACGTGCGAATGTTTTCCAGGTCATGCTCAAATAGATAGATAAGGGGAGAGAGAGTATGAGAGATCAAAATTAAGGTAAATTGCATTACGCTTCAATTACATCACTTAGATAAACAATTAGTCATTAGTGAATACAACAAGAATTGCAAACAGACTAATATCAATAGTAACAGTTATAACAGAAATAATAATAGTGTTGAAGTGAGTTAAGATAATCTTACTGATAAAGCATAGTTTTAAATGAATCAAGAATAATAATAATGATGATAATAATAACAATAATAATAAGAGGTAGAATAATAGTAATAATAAGTAAAGAATATTAAGTAAAACGTATTACCATGGTAGATTCAGAGTCACGACCATCTCTTTTTGTATACAGAGAGCTGGTTTATAAATTCGAATTGCACAAGCCTCTGCAATTGCAAGCATGTTCTTGTTTCTTTGTCTGTTTGCTGACAATAGTGAATGACTTGACCCCGTCGATATCATGTCCGTAATCCACAAGATGTTTTATTATTGAGGATTCTGGCACTTTGCACTCAGCTGTTTTCAGCCATTTTGGCAAATGCTCCATCATGCGAGTAGACAATCGTCTTACCGTACGACCTATGTATTTGCATCCACAAACACACTCAAACCGATATACTCAGTTTGAAGTGTCTAGGATTGGCGACTGGTCTTTCCAGAATGAACATTTCTTCTTTCTTTCACCGTTTATTATCTTAATTCAGATAAGATAGAGAAGATTTGTAGCTCAGGGGGATGATTTTGATGTGGTTGTGTTATCCACGAACATAAGCTAGCCGTCAAAAGACATGATATCCACTCCATCTCTCATATCACTACATATAGACAAACATGGACATCATTTCGACTGGGACAACGTTCAAATATTAGACAGAGGAAACAACAAGAATGCTAGAGAATTTTTAGAAGCTTGGCATTCCATTGAATCATCAATCAATAGACACGTCGAGATAGACAAAATTTATCAGCCGATAAGAATGAAACCTCACACACAAAGGGTCAAAGTTCTAGCCAAAGAAACGATCAGTTCCAATATAAGTAGTCACGTAGAGGGTGTGAAAACACACAAAGACAACCAGTCATGTCCAAGGTCACCAGAAGAGATGATCAATAAATAATTCCTGGAGAAATCTAAAAGCTCACTTCAACGAATTGAAGTATTCGCTGAAGATGTCGCCTAGTAGGGCGATGAAAGCTTCACAAATTAACCATCCAGCTCAGAGAACACAAACACATCAAATAAAATAATTTAGATAAGTCTGTTTATTTATCATTTGCCTTTCCTAATATGAATCCTACAAATTTGGCGGTCAAGTTAAACTCAAGGATGCATAGTGTGGTAATCACGGCTCAGTTACGTAGTTTTTAGCAGTTTAACACTTGTTAAGCAGAATTCTGTCACTTGAATACCTTTGGCACAGTGACATTTCTTTTTTTTCAGTTGATTGGTTTATTTTATACCTCACAAATGGTAGACAGCTTGCATATGCTTAAAAACTTAGACAGGACAGTATAATAAGACAAATATGAAGTCTAGCGCTGGTGGCTGTATGGTAGAATATTTGCCAATCATGCCTCACCCCTGGTCTGGGGATCGATTCCCGACTGATCCACTCCTAAACGTCACTTACCCGGCCGGTAGTAAGGCCGATAAGGCCGCAGGGGAGGTTTGAAGTGAGGCAGGCGACCGGCATCACATGAAAATGAGACCACTGCTACTGAAACTTCAAAGTTCAAGCTTTTGTAGCCTCATGTTCCACTCGGGATGTTAACAGAAAAAAGTAATAGTAATAAATGATCATCAGAGGTAAATGCGTTGCACTGATCTGTTCATTTTGACTTTCAGTGACGAGTTTCAATCATCATTCTTGCATTAATTAGCTTAAAAATTCCAGTTTAAATGAATGAATCATTTCAAATAAAACTATTTTGCAGGATGGGGTTGCTAGCATGCCTCATGCTTAACCTTCCCTCTTTACCAGCTGTATTTCTGGAGGTAAAGGAGTGAGTCGGTGGTCGGGGATCGGAACTCGGGCTATATTCATTGTCGGTGAGCGTCCTAATCGCTGTGCCGCCGACGCACTAAGGACCGAATAAATAGTTCAAGCTATTATATTAGATGGCTGGAGGTAATCGGCCACAGGAACCCTTGGACCTAGGTTTCGTTAGCAAGGCGTATCTGCAACCTTGAAGGAACTCATGTCCCATCTGAGATTCGAACTCGCGTAACCCAGTGCTGCAGTCAGGGACGTAACCACTGATCTATTCAGGCCCGAATTGTTACCATGATAGTAGAAGTGATTAAATGGTCTTCTTTTGTATACATAACTCTGGATTTTCCAATCGAATGGCTAAGGCTTCAGTAATACAACGTCTACGGAAGCATATTGCCTTTGATAGGTTATTCTTGACTATGTGGATTATTTAGATTATTTTTCAAGAATTAGCTAATAGGGTATGTATTTGTTTCAGGTTAGACGACGGATTGATATCAGTTACAGAACCATTGAAAACAATCAGGGAGTACTGGACAGTTTATTCGTCCTCGTTTGCGATTCACCAGCAGTACGCACCCGCTGGGGTTCGAACCCAAAACCTTCCGGTTAAAAAACAAGTTCATATACCATCCAGAAACTGAAACCCAATTCAATGGCCTGTGAATTCTAACTTTCACTAATTTGTTATTTATAGCCCCACCACTAACCACTGTCAATGGCGGGTTCGAAACCCAATGCGTCCTAAACTAAGCTGATGAAACAGCTGTTCAGCACTCTGGTGCTGCTTATCAATCCTTGGTCTAACCTGAAACTGGCCAAGATGAAAACTTTAAGCACCCCCCTTAACTACCAATGAAGTGCGACCGCACCGATGACCTTGAAACGCTCACTGAGCAAGTTAGTGTAACCTGCCAAATAATGCTGTCATCATCAATAAATATGCTAATCAAAGTGTTATACTATTTAATGGGATATCTGGCACATTGCAGCTTAGGTTTGGGAAAGACTAAGTTGTAGTTTAAGCCAAGGACAAGTTAGAATTAGGTTAACTTAATAAAGGCGACATTAGGGTTGGTTCGAGTTAGATTATAGTTAGTTTTGGGAAATTTTCACATTACAGTTAGGTTCAAGAAAGATTAGGGTTATTAATAAGGTTAGAGGACCTAAATAATTACATGCATAGAATGTGGTTAAATTACTCTCTTCATATAAGAATAGAACTTGTCCACTGTTATTATTATTATTATTGTATCCTTTAGTTCCTAGAGGAACATAGGGCTTCAGCTGCGCACCTCCATTGACTTCGGTTTTCTGACAACTTTTTCACCCTGCTCCAGGTCTGTCCACATGCTTTCATCTCCTCCTCGCATGACCTCCTCCAAGTCACCCTTGGACGACCAACTCGCCGCCTCCCTTTCGGGTTCCACTCGAGGGCTTGTCTAGTGATGTCACTTGATGGTTTCCTCAGCGTATGGCCAATCCATCTCCATTTCTTTCTGCCTATTTGTTTCACAATCGGTTCCTGATTGGTTCGCTCCCAGAGATCCCTGTTGCTGATCTTTTCTGGCCATCTGATCTTGAGTATTGAGCGGAGACAGTTGTTAATGAAGGTTTGAAGTTTGTTTGAGATGCTCTTTATGACTCGCCAAGTCTCTGATCCGTATAGTAGCACTGACTTCACATTGGAGTTGAAAATCCGGATCTTATTTTTGATGCTGAGTGCTGTTGACCTCCACACAGATTTGAGAGTAATGAAAGCTTGTCTTGCTTTTCCGATTCTGGCTTTGATGTCCTCGTCAGTTCCGCCTGTAGTTGAGACGATGCTTCCCAGGTAGGTGAAGGAGGTTGTTTCTTTCAGGTTCTTCCCATTTATGCTTATTGTGGTCTGTTGTTGTTGTTGATGTTGGCTAGGAATCTTCATCATCTCTGTTTTATCTATGTTCACGTGAAGTCCTATCTTTGATGCTTCTTCTGCCAACTTGTTACTTTTCACTTGCATATCTTCCAGTTTATGGGAAATCAGACATATATCATCGGCGAAATCCAGATCCTCCAAGTCTTTTGTGTCAGTCCATTTTATGCCTGTTCCCTCGTTGGTTGCCGTTGTCTGTCGCATTATCCAATCAATTGCAATCAGGAAGATCATTGGTGATAGTAGACAGCCTTGCCTCACTCCCGTCCTCACTTCGAAGGCTTCCGTAAGTTTCCCGTTGTGGATTACTTGGCATGCAGCATTGTCGTATAACTGTTGGATGAGGTGTATAATTGTCGATGGGACCCCGTAGTAGCGAAGTAGTTTCCAAATGACCTCTCGATCGACGCTGTCGAAGGCCTTTTCAAAGTCG